CAGCATCATAAACAAGCAGCACATACAGATGAGTGGAGCGCTGCATACAGTGTCGGTGGCTCAGGGGACCTACTTTGCTGTAAAGAGGGGATTCAAAGATGACCGTAGAGCATCAGCGGAGAGGCCCCTTCTGTGGAGATCAGGAGTGACTGATGCACAGTGGCAGCTGAAGCAGAGCCATGTGTTAAACCATCAGCCTGGCACCCACTGTGACTATTGTCTCTGTCACACACACATACACACACACACACACACGCCTCAGCCTGCTCCATAAACCAGGTCCAGGCTATAAAAAGCCTTTAGGTGTTATATATCTCTCTCTGTCATTGAAATTCAGAACCAATCCACAATCCATAGTGGTTTTTATGCAATGCTCCTCACTGTAGTCCAGGTCAGCGCTGCTCGTAATATCCCGTAATACAGAGCGCCGGTGTGTCCTTTAATGATTTTCTATACTGTAAAACGTGTTATTTATGAAGTGTCATGCAATTAGGCTTCCCAGTGCATTACCTGTGCCGTGCAGGGTTAATGCATTTTAAATCTAACAAATAAAAAGCAGCAGAAGAATCGAAGACGTACAACCGCTGTCTGACTTTATTGTCAGCAGATAATTTAATATCCAACAGCAAACCGGCACTGAGACTTAATTTATTTTGATTTTTATGGAGGAAGTGACACCGCAAAGTCATTTCTCGGCACATTTGACTCAGCAAGAAGGCTGCAAACGTGACAGAAATTTATCACGAGTGAAGCAAAGGCACTAAGAAGTGGAGGAAAAAAGAGACATTTTGTGTTATTTATTTCTTCATCAACTTCTATAACACACTGGCCATATTTTCAGGCAGCAACTAACTCATAACTGATTGTGTCTTTTACTGGCATTTGCTCCGTCCCACCCACCACGTTGGTAATACTGATTTTCCTGCATTTGTCGCTGCGCTCTATGATTTCTCATCAGCGTCTACGGAGCGACATGAATTAGCAGGAAGGACAGAGTGCACGAGTGTGTGTGTGTTTGTGTCACAATCTCAAAATGCTTAACAGACGACAATTAGATTGAGTTTGACCGGTGGACACACAAGCACATGCTGTCCTTCCTCCGGCCCTTTAATGCAACGTGATCTTTCAGGGGGTTTCTGGGCAGGGTGAAGCGTTACTGAAAGCTGCCTTAATATAATTATAGTCTCTGTGTGTGTGTGTGTGTGTGTGTGGAAGAGAGAGTGAGCGCATGAGTCGGTGGTCATCTTGCATAATGAGATTGAATGTCCAACTGTGACTCAGGCCGTAATGCAGACTGGGAATCTAGAGAATGATTACAGCAAAGGGTGAATGAAGGCTGACAAGGAAGCGGCGATGATCACACCGACGGATAAAGACGTGACTCAACCTGCTGATCTCTCAGCGGCACTTCATTCATTTATCGAAACTGGTCCGCAACAAGTCCCTGACTGTGACTCGCTGGCTCGACCCACTTGGTCAAGCTGCAACTAACGATTATTTTCATTGCCAATTAATCTGTTTCTTCAATTATTCGTTTAGTTGTTTGGTCTTTGTCAGAAAATGATGAATAATGTTCGTCAGTGTCTCCCAAAGCCCAAGATGACGTCCTCAGATGTCCTGTTTTGTGCACAGTTCAAATAGTTTGTGGTTATTTGTCTTACAGAAGTTTAAAAAAAAAAGCTGAAAACAGGTTTTTTGCCCTTTTTCTTTAAAAATTGCCCAAACTGATGAATCAATTTTCACAATAGTTGGCGATTAATTTCACAACTAATCAGCCATTTGTTGCACTAACAACCGGGAGAGAACGATACACAGATCTGCTAAAGGAGGAAGTCTTAAATGTTAAGGTGGCCATACAAAGACTGTTCACACAAAGAGTGGGTATTTTACTAAAAGCACTGTAGCTCTGGAGGATGTTGACTGGATTTGATTCTCATGTTGTCTTCATATAAACGTGACCTGAGAGTGAGCGTACCTGACCGGTCTGCAATAATCTGATATCATTAATAACGTTAACGGCAAAAAATATAACAGTGGAGTTGAGGTTAAACACAAAAGCTGCACTAAACAGGAGACATGATGCTAGCGACAGAGGTGCTGCTAGTTGCCCTCACAAAGAGCTAACCAGGATCCATAAATAGGATGTCAAAGGCAACTAATGCAGCGAGAAAGTTCAGTTCTGATGACAACCTTGCAGTCAAATATTAAAACTCATGAAACGACAGCTTCAAACTCTAAAGAAGGTGCTTTAAATAAAATTAACAGTCAGTACTGTGCGATGGATCGATCCAGGAAGCAGCACAGGATCTCAGATTCAGCCAGATTTACTGGTATCTATCTCACACTTTAAAGTGCTCATACACAAAAGCACAACGAACGCACACGTTCCCCAGACATCCACGCAACAGTGCACACACCATGTTTCCTCTCCTCACACTTTACTTATTCAAGCCAAAGCTGTAGTAACCTTTAGATCAGTTAAATTCAGTGGTGGGGGGAAAAAAAATGTAATCTCCCCTGAAACTAAAACTAAATTTAAGTCCCAGCTATGATAAAGCACCAGCAGCAGCAGCAGCAGAGGAACAAATGTGTGGGAACAATCGATGCCGTGGGTCCAGCGGCTGAATGAGGAGGTCGGTCCGGCGAAGCTGGGAGTCTGAGAAAACATCCTGCAATTAAAATTATCTGCTCCCCGGTCTTTTCTGCAAATAGGATTTAACTGGGAAACTTCAAATGACATTGTGCTAGCTTTGCAGAGCGACTGTGAAGCCCGGGAGACGCATGTGTGTCGACATGTGTACACGCATGCACTGTCACCTCACCTCCAGCAGACGCACACACCACAGCTCCCACACCTATTATCCTCTTCCTCCAGGCTTATCACGATGCTGTGTCACTGCCCCTCCTGCTGCTGTTTCAATTCCCACCCACCCAAGTTAAGCCTGCAGAAGATTGTCTGTGCATGTGTGTGTGTTGGCGTGCGTGCAGCACTTGCTTCCTCTCCCTTTATTTTCTTCTAAGAAAAACATTTTGTTGTCCTTCGCTGTACATGAGAGTCGGTGCATGCCTGCTCATACCTGTGTGTTCGTGCTTGTGTGCGTGAGCATGTGAGTCTGAATGGGTTCCAAGACACAAAAGAGAGGCAGATTAACATAACAATATCCAAATCCCCCTCTGCCCTTGGAACAGCAGGCAGAGAGGGTACAGACCAGGCTGGCTTTGTTACTGCGTGCATGCTTGTATGTGCACTTGTACGAGTGTACTTCATGCATCTGTGTCAAAGCATGTTCATGATTGCATGCCAGCGCGTGTATGTATGTGTGTGTGTGTGTGTGTGTGTGTGTGTGTGTGTATGTGTGTGCACAGAGGAGCTAATCTGAACAGAGTGCAGCCAGGCGTGAAGTGGAGCAGTCCAGTCGATATGCTCCTGTATCATATTGTCGCTCTGTGTTCCCACTCTGTCTTCCCTCCTATCGGTCTAGACCAGAGCCACGGGCCAGCTTATCATGTGCACCACACTTCTGACATGATGGCAATGTGTGCGCCACACTTTCATCTCAAGGGTCACACATGAAAGTCGCAAACCAAGGAAATTATAGAATAACTTGGCAGGCAGGAGTCGATTCACACCAGCGCTCCACACTCCGTGCACATGTGGAACTTGGCAGCGTGACACTCGAGCCTCTAAAACTGGCAGGTTTACTTTAGTGAACTCAAAGACACGACCTTAAACTCAATTTACTCGAATGTTCCCAACTGTTGCAGCTGAAATGTCTCAGTGTCTTGACTTCTCCACCCTTGAGCTTGAATTGAGCGGATTTTACGTCGGTGTCAGTGAAGAATGCCAAGTGACCCGGTTTGACTCTGCCGGCTGCTTCAGAAACGCTCAGTCAAACAAAGCAGAGTTCAACTTTGGTTTTAAGACATTTTGTGTGTATTTTAAACTGCACTGTTCACATTTATTCTACTCGTGTGTCTTTCTTCTTCTTCTCCAGCCTCATCATGCCTACTTTGTCCGTACTCTGGTAAGATTTCAGTTTAACATCACCGTCTTTTGCTGATTTTCTCCACAATAAATCCACTTCACCTTGACTTCTTCCTCACATACTTTCCTCCCTCTTTCTTTCCCTCCATCCACTTCAAAGTCCCTCTGACCTGACTTTCACTTTCACTCCCCTCCTCTCGTCTTCGCCCTCCTGTTGAGCCGTTCTGTTCTTCATTTGTCCTCATTTCACTTATCACACAGGTCTCCGTCGCCTGCGGTATTCTCACTCCCGTGTCTCGCTCCTTCCCGCTGCACACATGACAGCTGGCCTCCTCAATTATCTAATCATGAGGGCAGGGAGTAGAAAAAAAGGAGAGGAAGCGCTGATATGCACGCTGGAATCGAGAGTGTACGGCAGGTGTACACGCGCACACATATGACCAAAACATGCAGGCGTGAATGCTGAGCTGGACAAAAACTGCTGGGTGTTTGTATCAATTTAGCAAGTTTAATCTCTTCCATATGGACACGGGGGCTAATGCATCTGCTAAGGCTATTAGCCGCTATGAGCCCTGTGGACACAGACTAGACCTATTATCAGTTTGGCAGTGTCTGAAAATACCACTATAGCCAATAACTCAACAACAACAGTGACAACAACAGCAACAACAAACCACAGCGATCGCTACTGCAGGGGAAGTAAAAAAAAACCCCGCAGATCTTGTGTTGACCTCTATAGAGCCTGCAGATTTCTCCCTTGCTGAAACAGGGTCAACTTGATGGACAGAAAACAAGGTGAGGCTCAGAAAAATAGCCCAAGGTGCTGATTGCTACGGTAACCATCGACCCAGTTAGAAACAAAAATACACCCAGGTGCACAATCACACACACACACGAAAAAATAATGTTGAACGCATGCACAGATCTCCTCAAAGTGAAAATGCATGTTGGATATCAGCTGTAAGTTCCTGCACAGTTCACACCTCTTACCCCCCCTCCTCTGTTTCTGACTCACCTGAGTTCGATGGCCTCCCCCATCTCGCCCCAAGAACTCATCTCACACAGGAACGAAAGCAGATGAGAGAAGATGCAGAGATGACAAGCTGAGAGGAAGGAGTCCCTCAGACTAGCGGCCACAGCAATAACGACAGCACAAGGAAAAGATGAGAGGAGGGGAGGAACGAGAGAACAAGTGATGGTACTGCGCTCAGAGTGAGGGAGAGCGAGAGCCGAGTGAGAGAGAGAACCACACCTCTTCTTAAGGGATTAACTTGGGGGAGAAAAAAAAAAAAAGAAAAAAAGTCCTGACACATTCTCAGATACCAGCGCAGTGATGCACCCAAACACCATCAAACTGTCCACGACCCGGCGTGGATGAGCGTCTGGCACGGAGACGCACACAAACAAATACAGTACGCATATGCACGTACACTCACAGCGGCTCTAAAAATAAAGACAAATCGATGTTTGACGCTCCAGATCCTGGGAGTGAGGAAAGGAGGGAGTGGGAGGATAGAAAGAGAGTACGAGAACGAGGAAAGGGGAGGAGTGATTAAGCGAGTCATGGCGGGTGGTGACACAGTTTTCTTTGCTCTCCATCTGCTGTGGGCGCACTGGTCAAGAGTGCATTGGGGGAGAGGGCGAGAACTGGGGCTGGAGCCTGGGGACAGACGCCGAGGCTGGGACCGGGGGAGGATGGGTTTATAACGTGAGCTCTGGAACTCAGCCTGGTCGAGTGTTTCCACAGAGACGGTATTGGACACGTGGGAGGGTGCTGCTTGCCCAGTGCTGGATGCTGAAGGGAAGGTCACAGATACACAGCACGCAGGATTCCCGGTGGATGATTAAGTAGTGCTTTACTGCAAAATGATAAAAGCTGCAAACCACACCCAAACAACATCTGGCCGTGCGGATGCTTGTCATGTTTCGGGTATTGCAGTTCTAGATTGTCTAGCTGGGAAAACATTTGCAGGCAAAGCTGGAAAAACATATGGATCATGTAGAAATTTGAGAGAGAGAACATTTGGACAAGGTGCTGAAGTGTGAAGCGGTCTTCCCTGTAATTAGTTTGGAGTTACAGCCGTGGTGAATCTGCTTTCAAATGTTGTTCATGAGCGATGGCAGCCCCAAGAGGTTTGTGGATCATGATGCGAAGCCCCGATTTAGACCGTATAGGTCGACTTTATGCATAACTGCACCGTACATCAGATTTGAAGCAATAAATGCAACACAGCGGCTCTTGAAACACGCTGCGCCGTTACAGGAGTGCATTGCATGAGCACTTACACGCGATGTGGGTCGTAAAAACATACACATTTTCACTGCAAGGTAGCCGATACCTGGATGGGATCCAGGTGAAAGCTACATCAGGAAATAGCCCTGCTTTACTGATGTCAGACTCAGGATGGATGGTTTTAATAAAGGATCAAAATCGATGCAGCAAGACCAAATAACAAAACCAGAAATATAGTGCTTGACCTTGTTTATGGCACTTATCCAGGCGGTTTTCTCCTGACTAGAGCCCTGCTTGTGTTCTTCTCTCAGATGCAGGTCGCTTTGGATTAAAGCGTCTGCTAAATTAAACTGTAGAATTGTGTTTTTATTCCACATATTCAAGTGCTGTCTGCGTTACTTAAAAGACAACAGTTTGGTGGGAGATTCAGATGCTGCGAGAGCTTCTAGGCTCAATAAGAGATGGAGATTGTGCAACAATGGTCCCGTACATTCCTTTTTAACTCCAAACCACCACATTTTCAAACACAGCCTTCAGAAGAAGTGATGACGATTAAAGCGACATCAGCAGCATTTATCAGATTTCACGCGTCTCCCTAAATGGCTTTTTACGTTTCACATATGCGGCGAAATCTAACCCAAAGCTAAACAGATTTTAGCTTGAGTACCACAATTATATTGTTTACCACATAACAGGTTCTATGAATGATAAAAGCAGTTGACGCCGTGATTACTTTCCAAAGCAGTAAATCCTTCCTCATAATACTATATAATGCCGTGCTGAGTTTTGGCAGCTGATAAGCCTTCAGACTCATGCATCTGTGTCTCAAACCAACTGCCTGGGATTGGATTACTTAATCACATCTGATGTGAAGCAACACACCCCCACCAACAGAGTTCTTTGGATTTTTGTAGCGGGGCTGTTTTCAATCTGAACGCTGGTTATGAAGAAGAGAAAGGGCAGGATGAGAGCTGGAAACATTTGGTTGAAGGCCAAATACTGGAGGAAAGTTAGTATGAGGTGTCTGGGAAAGAGATGGGGAACCGGACAGACAGGAGCTGAGGCGAGCCGGGCAGACCGAGGACGGTAATTGAGCTTGAAGAGGAGCGAGTCAGAGAGCGGCTGCAGGAGGTGAGAAGTTTGGAGATTAAGGGCCAGCACAGATGTAGACATGAAGGGGAACCTGACCTTCACATTGTAGGAGGCTTTAAATGGAGCTTGAGGAAAATTACATTCCTGGACTTACAGAGATGGCTGGAGAGGCGGGTTAAAAGCTGCTGAGGGTCTGTGGTGATTGGAGGGTTTAGAGGAAAATCAAGGAGGCTAAAAGCACATTTTGAACCTCGTTAACACCCTGAAATGCCTCCTGGGGGCACAATTCCAGATATGAATGCACCTGAAACTAAATGGAGTCCAGTCATGTGGTTAGGAAAGGTGGTTTCCTGACTAATGTGGTGGCATTTTGCTGTCATAGTTTGTGTCCACATGTCCCCTTAAAGCGTTACTGCACACATTTCTATTGTGAAGGGAGTCGTCTCCTCCATCCACACATCCTCAACCTAAGCAAGCAACTATAAGATATTTTGGACCGTTGTGTTCGTCAGTCTACCACCATCATCAGAACACCAAATGACAGGATGTATTATTCTAAGAGTGTTTATGCCTCCACTAGACTTCCAGAGACTTTTGTCTTTGTTTTAGTCTTTAACTAAGACGTCATCTATGTTGGGTTTACCTTTATTTTATCACTTTAGGTCTCCCACAATGAGTGGTCTGAATGTAAAATGTTCCCTGGCAGCAGCAAAAGGCCGGCCAGCGACGGCTGACCTGCTTCCTGTAAGCTACAAGTATAAGGTGATGGAGGAAGAACAACACAATGAACACTAGCAGCAGTTTAGCACAGCGTCCACACTGATAAAATCAAACGTCTGTCAGGAAGCAGAATGTGATCGCATGGATGCACTTGAGACACCGTGTGATGTACGGCGAGGAATCAGCTGACACTGGATCTGGACACTGAAGACTGTGTTTCAGGCTACAAGGGGGTTTGGACTGAGGAGCCGGAACCGAGGCTGGAGATCCTGTAGCTCAGTGTAGTGTTATGTGTCAGCGCTATCTGTCTCTTCTCACCCATTCCCAGGCTTTCATGATGCCAGTTCATCCTCTAATCTGTTTACCGTCAGACACTCAGAGCCAGAGATCAACGGTGGATGAGACCGAGAGGGATCAAAACGTCCTTGTTGCGCTCCGGCTTTGTTCACGTGTTTGTTTCAGACGCGGCGCTCTGGGTGTCGGTGGCCAGCTGGAAACAATCGGCACCGTCTCTCTTTATGCTTATTGTCACTTGTTTCTGTTCCGCAGTCTGCTGACAGAAGTGACATTAAATGCTGACGGGCCTCACATCACAGTGATTCTGATGTACTTAAACGCTCCCGTGGGGGAACTCGTGTTGGCGTTCATCGTGTTCGACTAGTCAACAAACACATTTATAAATACCCAGTGCAGCTAATACAAAGATCTGCACACAACTGCTGCAGCTTTAACAACGACAATACCTCGTGGACTTCAGCAACACTTTATGCTGACAAAAAAAAAAAAAAGAGCTTTTTAGATTAGGCTTGAGGAAAGTCTCGGGGAAGAAAGAAAACATAAACAACAAAGGCGATAAGGAAAGTCAACATCTCCTCTTTTCCAGACACGACTATTGGCATTCATGAATTTTAATGGATTGCATTTTTGAGCAGCAAAAGACGTCTGAAGTCAAAAAAAACTGCACAATCATCAAAACAGTGTAACTTCACATGTTTCTTGCACATGCTTTGACAGCACCTCTTTAGAAATATCAGGAGGAGCCCTCCCTCTGTACCGCATCTAAAACATCCCAAAACCCACAAAAAGCCTGTTGGAGCCACACAGCAACAGGTCAGACATGCTGTATTTACTGTAACTATGGGAATGCTTTAACATTTACAGCTGTCGATTGTCACCAAAGCTCCTTCTAGATGAATATCACGTGGGGTCAGTTTAATCTAAAGACCTTCATGATGCTATAATTGCAGATGAACTGATGTGTCCACAGCAAGTTTCGATGTTTCACTATTAAACTAAAGGCTGTTGTCACTCACATACACATTGCCAATCTGCCCTAAATTTGTTATGTCAGCAAAATCCCCCCACAGCACAACAGAGTCTCCTCATTGTAGATTCAAGTTCAGGCTTTACCTTTAATTTCTAACCCATCTACGCCCTCGACTGCAGCACTGATCATCGCTGCCAGCAGCTTCAGTAAACTGAGCCGGTACCAGACGAGTGTTTGACTGACAAAAATGTTCACATACGATGTTCCTGTCACACACTCTGCACATTACTTTTGGAGGGTTAAGTGCTTTCTATTGTCGAAAGGTTCACAGCAGTGACATTCACAAAAAAAAAAAAAACTCGCTCAAGTATCTCTGTGGAATAAATGTTACCTTTCTGGTATTTTGTAAATGTGACGTCTAAGCTCTGTAATTTCAGGCAATCATTTTGTTTATCTAAATGCCATATCAGCCTCTGTTTCGAGAAATGATGTGACAACAAAAACAAACGGGAGTGCACGTGTTACAGCCTGAAACACCTTCAGATGTTTCAGACTGGAGGTGATAAAAAGTAAGATCCATTAACCTGCTTGGTTTTGAACTCACTCCCGTCATATGCTCTGTATCCTATGGACCATTTATCTTGACTGCTATTAACTTGTCCTCCTCTTCCTCTCTTTTCTTTTGCGCTCATCCAGGACTGAGACAGAAAGAGGAGGAGGGTGAAGAAGAAAAGGATCTAAAAATAAGCAGAGAGTGGAAGACAATGACACCGAGGAAGACAAAGGGGAGAGAATATTAGACTGATCATGGGAGGATACAGTAGATGTTATCTCTGCAGGGATGTACTGTATCATGGCAGGTCTGCGGTTGTGTGTGTGTGTGCAGGCGTCTGCTTGTGCATATTCGTCTGTCTGAGTGTGTAACTGTCTGCTGGGCAGACGCTAACATAAGCCTATTAAAACTGCTGCGTAGTTATGAAACATGATGATCTCACCAGCCAGGTGGGAACAGACACACAATAAGTAAGCCCTCTGGCACGTGTTTCAAATGGCTTTTCCGCCATTTAGAGCAGAAAGAGAAACACAATCGCGCCGTCTGCATGCGGTTGTTTGTGTTCGCTGCGTCGTATG